AAATGATGTAGATAACTCTTGGGCAAAGAACCAAATATTCTCAGATAAACCTTGACTAGACATATATTTTGTTCCTTAAACTAGTTGACCAAACTATGACTATAGACATTTTAAGATTATGTGTCTATTATTTTTCTCTCATCCTTTATATATCATATCAACCTACACAGACCTTCATCTCTTGCTTAGGCTTTCTCATTTTTTTCTATTTTGGAAAATATCTCCATTCCCATATCCTTTTAACATCTTTTACATTCTCATTTGCTTTTTTAAAATAGTTATGAGATATAATAGCATTAAAAATAAATTTTCTATCTATTGTGAAACTTCTTTTCCTGGGGATGCTAAGCAGTGCTTATTCCCTTTCAAGATTCTAGTGTCAAGCCAATGTTTTGAAAAGTTTTCCTGGGGAACCAATGAATTTATTGAGCTTACTTACTGAGATAACTGAGGGGTTGCTGACGTGCATGTATTACCTGAGGGTATACACACTGGAAAGCCTTTACCTAGCATGGGCCATGCTTTCTCTTCCTAGCCTTCTCCAGATTCTATACTTTAGCCCTCCCCAAGTCCAGGAGGCCATGTGTGCTTAGGGTCAAATTACATACAGTTGGCTGGGAAGAGTGGGTGGATAATCTGGTGAGGGTCCAATGACCCTGCTTGGCCCTCCTTTAATGAATGAGCACAACCATCAACAAGCCCAATTGTGTAAATGGTTAGCAATCAGGCTCAGCTGAAGTTGTCATGGTGGTAGTTATTTCATGCAGTAGAGACTGCTGTATACGATCATCTTATTAAAAGGACCTGGAATGTAAAAGGATTTGGTGCTAGGAGCCACATATGAGGGAGAACATATAGCGTTTGTTTTTTGTTTTTATACGAGTAAATGAAATTTCAGCCACCTGATATTTGACGAAGGGGCCAAGAACATTCACTGGAGGAAAGACAGCATGTTCAGCAAATGGTGCTGGCAAAACTGGATCTCCACCTGTAGAAGAATATGGTAGGTTCATTTTTAGTGTTTTAAGAGTTCTCCACACTGTTTTCCATAGGGGTTGCACGAGTTTGCAATCCCACCAGCGTGGATGAGCATTCCCCTTTTCCACGTCCTTGCCAGCATTTGGTATCATTTATTCTCTTGATCCTAGCCAGTCTGATTGAGGTAAAGTGATACCTTTAGGGTGGTTTTAATTTGCATTTCCCTAATTACTAATGCTGTTGAACACTTTTTGAGATTCTTCTTGTCATCTTTATTTCTTCCTTTGGGAAGTCTCTATAGTCTAAACAGACCCAGTACTTCAGAAATCCAAAGTCTCTACTGAAACTCAGTTCAAACTCTTAGCTACAACACCTAAAAACTCAAAAACAAAGTTGCATACTTCTAACTCACAATGAAACAATAAACATTTATATCCTGGAAGAGCAGGAGGAAAGAAAGGGAAAAAGTGGCAAAAAACTTTATTTAAGCCAGGCGTGGTGGTGCATGCCTTTAATCCCAGCACTCGGGAGGCAGAGGCAGGCGGATCTCTGTGAGTTCAAGGCCAGCCTGGTCTACATAGTGAGTTCCAGGCCAGCTGGGACTACAGGAAGACCCTGTCTCAAAAAGACCAAGAAAAATTTTATTTATTTATTTTTAAATTTTATATGTATATGTGTATTGCCTGCATGTAGGTAAGTGTACCCGTGTCTTGCAGTGCCCGCAGAGGTCAGAAGAGGCTGTCAGATCCCCTGGGACTGGAGTTACGGACAGTTGTTAACTGCCATGTGGGTTCTGGGATTCGAACCTGGGTCTTCTGCAAGAACAACCAGGGTTCTTAACCGCTGGGCCATCTTTCCAGCCCCACTGATTGTTTCTTTTGCTGTACAGAAACTTTTTAGTTTAATGAGGTCCTATTTGTTGATTGCTGACCTTCTTTCCTGAGAAACTTCTGTCCAATTTAGAAAATCCTTTCCTACACCTATATCTTGTAGGTTATTGCCAATGTTTTCTTCTAACAGTTTCAGAGTTTCAAACTTCACATTGAGGTCTTTGATCCATTTGAAGTTGACTTTTGTGAAAGGTGAAAGATAGGGGTTTAGTTTCATTCTTCTACAGGTGGAGATCCAGTTTTGCCAGCACCATTTGCTGAACATGCTGTCTTTCCTCCAGTGAGTATTCTTGGCCCCTTTGTCAAATATCAGGTGGCTGAAATTGCATGTACTCATATTCGGGTCTTCAGTT